GCATGGTGACGCGCAGCACGCGACGGCTGCGCCGTGACCTAGTTTCCACGGACGCACGGGACGCAGCACACCCGAATTCCGACTCTTCCGGGAAACGTCCGACTCTATCGTCAAGAAACTAGTTCACGCCGCACACGTTCCACGCAACGCAGCCCACTTAGATCACGAGACAAACCCGTGTATGTGGCATGCGCCCGAGGACGCAAGCGGCAACTTGTGCGGCGAAGTTCGTAACTATTTGAACGACCTCATCGCCTATTGTTGGAGCCCAAATTTGAAGCAGAGTAAACTAGAAGGATCATCTGACCCTACTAAACTAGTCTACTTCGAGTTTGTGCTCCGAAAATTGCTGTCAGAGTCGTAAAAATCGTCACGAACTTCACCGCATAAGTTGCCGCGTGCGTCCTCGGACGCACGCGGCAACTTACGCGGCCGTCCCCCGACGGACTTGGACCGCGCAAAATTTGCGGTTTGAATTATTTTCCCGCGCGAGGACATTTGAATACAACATCGGTGCTGCAGCGATTATTCACGTTTCTAGCTTACTGCTTCATTTTCTATCTCTGTTTTCGTTCTTGAAAATAATATCGACGTAAAATAGCTCCTTGTTTTGCTTCTTCTACAAGCAGATCTCTTCCATTTCTTGATGGCGCGTTCTAAGTTCGCATCCAAAGACCCGCCCGCTGGAAAGTAATTCAAACTGAAGGATTACGTTGTATTTTAGATGACGATTTGACGATGGAATGGAAGCGAACCCGCTATGGGAAATGGGCACGAAGTATGCCACTAATATTTTGAGCGGAAGAAAGTCAAGAATAAGTAAATTCTCTTTGATCTGGCCAAATCTATACATCTGTAAGGGCTGGGCTTTTACGGGTATGAGTGAAGAGTTGGGCCGCAATTTGCTCTCGCTGCGACCACTGAGTCTGTGGAATTACGCTCGTGCGGCGAGCCGCGTATAGCAGAAGTTCAATGAGTGATTGGATCCCGCTATATATGAGCTGGATTTTCAGATTAGTGGCACCATCAACGGGTGATAAAGCCATTGCTGTTGATACTGCGGGACCACTCGCAAAAATTTGCCACATGCGTACGCGTGTCTGTAGGAATTTGGGCATATGTTCCTCAAGCTGCACTCACCACGTCTCGATCAAAGAGATAATGCGTGGTTGAAGCGATGTTATAGGTAAAGTGGGAGACGGGCAGTACGGTTTTGTGTAATCGGTCCGCCGCACGCGGCTGTCGCGGACCATTTGTCTCGTTGTAACAGTTCCAGCGTTTTTCATACAGCTCAATCGCCATGAGATTATTACTTAGGGCATTGATCTACTGTTAGTCCTTTTGTTCCTGAATTTTTTACTTGCTGCTACATTCTGCTACACTCCTTCAGCGCGGCATCCCTCTCGCCGCGATGCGACAGCTTCGTTCCCACTGCACCACACCTAAGTTCGATGGATTGGGCTCAGAGCAGCTGATAAGACCAAGCCGGCCTTGTTCGCCATACGCCATGGTTGAACACCAAGATCTTCGATTCGGACCAATCTGACGATGCCTCTGTGCAGTTCTGATGTAACGTATTGATAACTTCATCATGAACGTCATCTGCTGTGCATTACTATGTATCTCTATTACTACACTTTATTATGTGAAGCACATTCTTTTTCAAAGAATGTGCATAAGTTAATACAATGGGTACTCAATTTAATCAAGCTCCAAATACATTGTGAAGTTATATGAATACGTTCAACAGGGAAAAATGAGATGGCATTCACAACAATGTTAAACCATCCTGACCAGAGAAGCTTAAGCAAACTCAATAATTTCAAGTGCGAAACGATGCAGAAAAAGCTAGCCATACTTACCACAGTAGGCATAGCTGATAAAACACTGTACAAAATTAATAATTACATGCAGCTGCAACTAAATGGATAGCTATTTGCTAGTGATTAATGAAACATCCCGAGCTCTGTAACAACGTGGACATTTATAAAACGCAACAGTACAACGTAAAAGCTGCGATAACCAGATGAACAGACAAAGTTGAATGAACGAATCATTGTCGGCAGCGGCAACGTGAAAGCCGCTCCTCGGCAGCACGGAGTTTCTCCCTCAGTTCAGTCACTTCTGTCAAAGCATCTTCGAGCTGTTTTTCTTTCATTAACTGCAACTGCTTCGCCTGGAATACCCAACACATAATGTTGCAGATTCACATCAACTCAAAACAACCTTACCTTAGAACGACTTCTACGAACAGCATCATTATTCCTTTGCCGTTTAACTTTGTAGGAAAGGTTGTTCCGCTCTTGGGGGCTTTTGAGTCGATACTTCCGAGCAGTAGTTGTAGGTATGTAAGGTTCTACAGGTTGTACGGCTCGAGTCGATCTCTTTGATGAACGAGTTGTTGGGTTAGACTGTCGACTATCTGTAAGGATTTTGTTTTCGGACATAAAAACAGTTTTTCGCTATTTTTTGCTGTTCAAACTATTAGGTACACTCACTTTCCCACTCAGGTTCCTTCTTAATTTCTGCTAGGGCGGGACTCGGTGTCGCAGTAGGTGTTGCCGAGTCAATCACTGAAAATTAGCAGTTGTTTTTAGTAGAATGGTACGGTTCACGCGAGAACTCACGATAGGCTTCTGGATTTAATTGTTCTCGCATGATAAGTTCTGTGTGAGCGAAGGGATCATATGCATCATAATTCACACCTTTGCCTTCATTATAAAGTATGTTACACTTTTGAAGCTCTATGTCGTCCAACTCGAGATCATCTGCAGGCACACCCGTCTGAAACGTCAACGTCAGCTTTCAGGAGAAAAACAACACATTAAAATGGTACACTGTTAACATAGACAGGGAAAGGCTCACCATTGCCGTGATATCCTCCAAGTAATCATCGATGTTCATGGTGGTCTCGAGGAAATTAAGAATCCCTTCAGGATCCCTTGATCGATCGCACTCTTGAAGCGTTGCGGCTCTAGCCAACGAATCCTTAAATTAATATAGCAGAGTATGAGCTCGCTTTGAAGACCGATTATAATGCTTCCTAACAAACTGCGCATTCTCTTTGAATTCCTTCCAATACATCAAATCAAAGCCTCGAATCAGCGTTCAAACTATAAGTTAGTTTAATAGAACAATAGTACGATGCAAAAAAAGTGAATCTATTCATATCCCCCAACTATCTCGACTACCAACCAATGTAAGAAAAATGAATCTTAAGCCACCGTAAAAAAGTCAGGGTAGAACATACCTGTCTCTCAAAGACACAGCCTCCTACAAAGTCGGAATTAGACATCTCTTCTACTTGCTTCGGCTGAGGAAAGCCACCATAGCAATCGTTACGCTTCTGAAAGCACCACGCGTCGTCAGCAAAACAACAACCGGTCATGTGACACGCAGGACACATGGTTAAGCCGCGAAATATGAAAACATTAAGCTTTTACCTCTGGATCGAGAGTTATGTTTTGTTCACAAGGGACTCGTCGGTCAGCAAGGTTTGCTTGATTTGCACGTATAGCTGCGAAAGATAACTTATCTTCGTGAAGAGTCATATTCGAATCTGAAATACTTCAATGTGACTTACCCAGATCAAGTAGGAGGTGTGTTTCGCGTGACGAACAAGTAACAGCGAATAATAATTCACATAATAAACACCTGGTCATAATAGATTCTCATTAAACGAACCAAACAAAACTGGTTGATGTAAATAAGAAAAGTTATTACTGGGTTCGCAATAGTTAAATATAGCTTAATTATAGCACCCCTAATAAACAAGCTGGAAATGACTTGCGTCATGATTATAATAAACAGAACTTCATCAATCATTAATTTTGCATTATTACTACAAATAATCCCAAGGAATTAATTCAGAGAGTGTGACGCAAATGCTAAATAAAGCCGATGCAAAAATAGAAACAGAACATAATAGTGAGGGGTAATCGAATGACAGTAAATATAGGAAAGAGTGGTAAAGCAACCTCACGGAATTCCGAGAATGCCCCGAAAAATTGGCTTTTTGAAAACTATGACGAGACATGATGCAATGATGAATAATGTACGTGGATGAATTCATGAATAGAGAATCCTCTTTACTACAAACCACAATAGGCCACAAGTCGATCACAGAACTTCCCAAAGAAATCCAGTTGCGCGAGTCCCACGATGAGGTGGAAGTCGGCTCCCAGACGTTGTGTACAGCCAGTGCTATGGCGATTGCGAAATATCGCGCAACGATGACTCAGCGCGCCCGACGGACCGCCCACCCGAGGGGCGTGACCAATGGGGTGCGCCCGGATGACGTTGCCGAAGCATCGCGAACGGGCGCGTTTGATGACAATTCGACGCAAGCCGTGTGATCATGTGTGTTGTACGTAGTTGCACAAAGTTACTATTAGGAACCGTGTCTTTCCCAAACAAACGATGGGACATGTGTCTGTTGAATTGAACATGCACAACTGTCAGTGCACGTGAATGCGAGCTGAACACATAACCCCGGTGAGATGTCCCGGCAAACATCCGTCTTTATTTTACACTAAGGGGAGCAGCTCCAAAGATTAACACTGATAAAAATAGTCGCTGGGAAGGTAAGCTGTCATTAATGGGTGAATGAGTACAACGGAAATCGGTTTGGGAAAGTAAATTTGGTTATACTAGTTAAAATTTGGAGATGTGAAGTGTAAGCTTGCTAAATCTCATATTGTGAAGGTGAATTCAATCTAAGAAGAAAAGGAAATAACAAAATCGTGTTCCGCAGTAGCTGTCGCTGCCTGGGACTCTCTCACTTGAGCGCTCAACATTCCGATCTTCCCACGGTACCCGTCCGATAGAGTTCGTTAGCGTTCGTCGCCAGTTTTCCACGTCAACAAAGAACTTTGGTCAGTGAGTAGACCATTAGTGCAAGAAAACATGGGAGAAATGTTGTGCCACTGTTGGACCCTCTCGTGTCATCTGTGACGCGGGTGTGGGTACATTAGTGCGTCTGGGCGCGCGCGAGGCAAATGGTCAAACGGTCAAATCCACTGCGATTTTGACGACCCTGGCGCCCATCATTAGGCCATAGGTTTTCTTTAAATTACCTGAGTTTCGAGCTTCAGTCGGGCTGTGGAGAGTTTCGATGTCTACAAAATGTCCTTAGTCTATTTCAGGCTTTGAAGAGTTTGATACGGCTGGAACTTTAACAAGGAAAAGTCTTCGGGCGTTGGTCAATCCCGTCTGGGAGATGCACCCCCTCATTTACTTCCAATCAGAATCGCAGTGGCGTATTGAATGCGGGCCTATTCAATGGCTCGCGGTGTCTAGCCGATATACAAGTCAGTGCTTTTATCTCCCAGCTAAGTCTGGTACCAATCCCCCGATGGATGGAGAGCTTGGTTGGCTCTGGCGTATATCGGTCAGGGATTGAACCCGTGACCATTCGTGTGTGGAGTGCGCCGCTTGCCACTACACCACTTTCGCCTTAATGCAATGAACAACTTGGGCCAAAAGAATTGAGAGAATGAATAAAGACCTCATGATAGTTCAAGACACATGCTACATCAAGCACAGTGGAGTTGTTCACCCAAACACATTTTCACCTTGACATACCAATGATCATTGTCATCAAATGATGTCATACAATCGTCACTCCTGTACTTGTGCCACTATGGGAACTCGGGTATAAAGTCTACTACCCGTCTCAAAATAGCCAACAAAGCGAATCGTGGCCCATTAAAATCACGTAGTAGACGCCCTCAGCCGCGTCTTGTACTTGTACGCGTGCTTCAAGCCATTAATGCACAACTACACATTCGTTGTTTACAGTGTGAGTTGCCCCTTCATGCTTTGCGCTAACCCAAGGACGAAACGCGGAAGGGGAGCGGCGGCGTAGACGTCGATCGATAACTCACAGTGCGGCCATTCATACTCAGCTTTAACGCCTCGTAAGCTTTCCTTAGTACCTGTTCTGCTTTTTTTATTGAGTGATTACAGCATTGAAGGTTGGGTAGCGTAGGGTACGAGTTTGCTTTTTACAAAATGTTTCCTTGTTCCATCTTACTTTCCATATTCGTACTTTATTTTTAAGCGCAGAATTAGTCAGATCTCTATTCATCGTAATGACTGGAACGAAGTGTGAAGTGCTTTTAAAAAAGCGCAAAGAAGCAGAACAGGAGCGTTGTTGTTGGAGCGCGTCGAAAGCGTGAAACCCTAACATGAGTAATCGGCCGCGGGAACATCGCCGAAGTCCTTTGCCGTTCGCTTTTCGCCCATTGGCCAACGCAAAGTATAAAGGCGACTAGCCCAAAAGTTACCGCCATATCGATTAATCCTTTATTTTAATCCAAACCTTCATGGTTCCGTGACGAGTTAATAACGTCCAAGTAACCTTTATCAATTAAATGAGCAACTGGAAATTGAGGTCGTCCATATGTCAAACCGAAACTATAAAATAAAAGTAGTTTACGCTTCTAACAAGCAGAAAATAACTCATTCTAAACATTCCCAGGAACAGAATTTGCAGAATGGCAGGAAAAAGGAAAACTTGTCTGATTACTCAGTCGGGACTGGGTAATCAGACAGATGGGGGTGAAGCTCGCTTGGGACTGGGTAATCAGGCAGATGGTAGGATTGTCAATTGCTGATTTTCTCGTCGGGAACCGAACGTCGCTCTTGAACGCGTTGAAATCGTAAGACACTTAAGCAGCTTGAAAGAGAGGGTTGATCTATGAAAAGTCCTCATCAAAGTGAAAGAGACTAGCTCACATTCAGCTCCATAACAGAAACTCACCCTTTTGAGAATCTAAGGAATAGAACTTGACCAGGTCATTTCAAGAGGACAAGATTTATCAGCGATGGATGATTATATTGGGAGGATAAGCCTACGCTTTCGCCTTACCCTTCAAGGCACAGTTCATGATAATTTTGGGTCATCCACATTATGAGGAAAAACGAAAAAGAAGGTGGGAAATAGTGCAATGGAGGCGGAGAAAGTGCGCGAGTCGGTGTTCCTAAAGCGTTAAAAACCTTTGAAAAAATCGTTAAAATGTGGGCGTACGAGAATGAGACCAAAAAGCCTCCTACTCGACGATCAGCTGATTGCGTGTTGAACGTATAGGTCCTGGCGCGAATATTGCAATCGCCTCGAGACTCGTCTAACACATCATGGGTCGAGGAGTGGGGGACAAGGGCAATCATCCGTTAGTGGGGTTCCCACTATGCCCTAGCTGTTGTGTGTTTGGACCCGACAGCCGTCCTTCCTGTTACCAAAGGCTGCCATTGGTATTCCTAGCGAGTTTCAGAAACCATTTTTATTGTGAGATGTGCCATTAAAATCCTGCCGGGAAACCCGGGCCGCTCGCGTGGCAGGCGAGCATTCTACCTTTGAACCACCGATGCACCAGAAATGTGCAGGTGGTTCAGTGGATATTTATGCCTCCGGTGATAACGGAGTAATGTAACACAATAATATAGTAAGCGCGGACGTTCCCGCTATCAAAGCACAGAGTAATGGTAATAAATACTTTATAAGACAGTTAACTTACGTCTTGCCCGTGACGCTGTTTTAGGAAAGAGTGCGAACCCACTTATCTCGGGTCTGCTTGACCCCGCACCATTAGGGGCGTGGGTTCAACTAGGGATNAGTAAGCGCGGACGTTCCCGCTATCAAAGCACAGAGTAATGGTAATAAATACTTTATAAGACAGTTAACTTACGTCTTGCCCGTGACGCTGTTTTAGGAAAGAGTGCGAACCCACTTATCTCGGGTCTGCTTGACCCCGCACCATTAGGGGCGTGGGTTCAACTAGGGATTCGTCTCAGACAGTGAGACGACGATATACATAGTTATGGGGATCGTCGCCATAGACGACGATAAAATGGTTTCGGATGAGATATGCCGTGTTCTTGACTGCCTTCAGAACTCCCGTCGCCCCATTGTCGACAGGGTTCCTCGAAGTCGTGCTTTTCGTTATTTTAGCATGGGTGTTATCCTGTGCGATAAACAATTACAATTACAAGTCTCTTTCCTACTGTGATCACGTCCGATCGGCAACCAGGCGTACCACGGCATATCCTGCTGCTGGCAAGAGTTACTTCTGAGTTTGGCACGTTCCCCACATCTCGAGTAGTAGTAGGCGCAGACAGGTAATTCTGTTAACGAAATTATTGCCAAAGGCGTATGATACCTAAAAAGCCAATTTCTGTTGGCAGGGGACACGTGATCTCGTAGTCTCCCCTTAGAGCATAATGTCCAGTTCTTCAGGGAGACATCGCTTGTGAAGACCTACATTTAGCTCAAGTTCGAGTGCCAACGCAAGTTTTATACATGCAAACAATGACTCTGTTTTCACCTATTCCAGATTTTTTTTTTGTTACCTAGCAGCCTTCTGCTCTACTTATGAAAAACGACGCTTTGATGTTTACATAAACAATGGTACCGCCAAGCTTCTTCACATGTTAGGTCTTTTACAGTAACTCTCAATCCTTTATCACTTCCATCAGAAAATGGTAAGAATGATACCAAACGGGCAGAAGTAGAATGCATCTACTCACCACGTAATTCCTTTTTTTCTCCTCTTCCTCTCGTAGTTATTTTCCCATGCTCAAGTGAACATGGAGCGAAGACAAAGCAACCTAAACGTAAGTATGAGGACTCAGTTCTTGGATTAAGCTCCCAAATTAGTTTATTCTACTTATACAGAGATTTACGGTGGCCAGCCAATTCAACAAGAACTTGAGCAGGGAGGGCAGCGGAATTGCCGTGTAGTGCCAAGGGCGCACTATCTACACGCATGGTCACAGGTTCGAATCTCGGCTCGATATCCGCTGAAGCCTATCAAGCATTGCATCGCTTCGGGGACTTCGAATTAGTAGCAGATCCCAATGGGAAGATGATTTACCCACTTATACAGCGGTTGATCAGCGCAGGTCTCCTAAGAATTCATAACTGACTATGATCCTAGCTGGAAGTCGAATGCGGGGCACATCCAAGAGTGGCGTAATGCCAAGAACATCATCCTTCGATATCAACTTATTAACAATTCGATTTACTAGAGTAGTTTAAGATGGTAATCAGAGGCAGCCGAGGGGTATTACACGCAATTATCCAAGATTATCATCTGTAGCTTGCAAGACGTATCATTCCTAATTAATTGGTTCAAATTTAGATGTTTATCCAACTGAAAGTCCTCCGGAATTCTAATACCCAAAAGCAGAACTTGCGAAATTTCAATTTTTCCATTTTATCCATGTGCTCTGCAGGCTTCACTCAGTAAGATGGACTTTCGCAATAAATAATGGATTCATTGCTTGCAATTTTGCAGAGTGCATGGTGACTCATACATTCCTCTCTAAGAATAGACGTATACGAATGCCCTACTTTGGTGACTAACGGGAATATCCGAAAACGTGGCGAGACGCCTTCACAAAACACGGGATCTAACCCTGACGGATGCTCTTTTCCATCCATCACCACTAAGTTTGTTTATTTATATTTGTTGCTTAGCCGTTTCCCACCGATCCTATAGATCTCTTCCTTACAGAAGTACATAGTGCATTTCAACGCTGAGGAGATGGAGTGAATACAATAGGGATTTGGCTACAGTAAGATCTACCAATAACGATCAATCTTACCGACCAGTATTGGTTTGCGGTGTGCAGGGCAGGGTATCTATAGCTTGTAAGCTCATTTTATACGTGAGTACGCAAACCTCCGTGGACAAGAAGGAGTAGAAGGGAGCTCCGGTGCACATTACTTCCTTTTTGCCGAAAGCTTGGCGTTTCGTTATGTCAAAGAAAAGAGTGGACGGTATCAGATGGACGATCCTATCGATTGAGTAATTAAGGTAATCGGTGTTGACTGGTACACCGCTAGTCATGCGCTACGCTAATTAAAGAGGGATATCGTGAGATACATAGATGCTTACGCAGTTCGTCTTATCTGTAATAGTTGGAGCGACGTTCATGCATCAGTTCGTGAAGAAATGCTCATTTCATGGTTATATAACCTCAGCATTATATCAAAGCTGAAGGCATCAGGCCGTATATAGGATAAAGGATTAAGTTTCTGGCCTTAATCAATCCCGTCTGAGGGTTGTGCCCCGCACTCGACTTCCACCTACAATCGTAACGGCGTAAGAAGTGCGTATGCGGCCTATACAATGACATGCGGTGGCCGGCCGATGTACAAGTCAGTGCTTTTATCCTCCCAGGCCTGGTCTGGCACCAATTAACCGACCCCCAAGGGATGGAAGGCTTGGTTGGCCTAGGCTGATATCTATCCGGGATTCGAACCCGTGACCATGCGTGTGTGAAGTGCGCCACTTTTCACCACACCACCTCCGACCTTCAGACCATATATTTAAATGAATTGTTCGGTTGAATAACTCCAAGTCCACTCTTCCTGAAACTTGGACGTATGCCGCATTTCTCTACGCAAAAGCGCCCTCCAGGCTCGTGATGGTGAAATTCCCAAAGTTGGAAAACGTTTAGATGGAAGCACTACATTGTGATGCAGTGGTTGCTGTTTTATCCTGCCAAGCGGTCACACGGTTGTGGTACTTTCCACAAATCTTATCACGATACAGATAGGCCTCTCTGCAGTTCTACCAACATCACTATCTTCATCAGGATTTCCTGAGCAACCATGATTGACTAGCATATCCTCAACAATTTGAAGCTGATCTTGCTGGTCTGACAGCCCAAATAGACGGATGAAAGACGTAAGCAGTCTTGCAGTAGCCATGTATTGAGAAACTTGACTACAGAATCCCAAATAAACAAAGCTCCCGAGCATGTTTCGAATGACGATATTCTGTTACACACATTTTACCTAACATGAAATTATCCCTGACGACAATCACCGTGGCCTGATAAAACCGCAAAGTAAATGTAAATGGATAAATGTTTATTGAAATCTGTCAAACCATATACCCGTAATAACACAAGCAAATCACAATACCGATTAGATTAAAATTAGACAAGATACTTCCTTCCATATAAAGCAGCCTTCTGATCGAATGCGGGTGATTTTATAGGAGAGTTGATGGTGTAAAATGGGTTCATCGAATACTTTATATAGGTCTCGTACATCTCCTGAAACAAGTAGATAACTATTTCATGGATGCAAATGAGCAGGGGAACCACCACCTTCAGTTTGGGGAAAACTGTTCTGATTTCAATGGGTATTCCGTCCTTGCTAATATATAGAGCAAACATAGTTAGATCGATAGCGTTCGGTTTATTCAAGATCACGGTAGAAATAAAAAATACTCCAAATAATGTTTTCACGGTGGAAAAAGCTAACTTTTGCGAAACAGATTTAAAGAGCTTCGAAACGTTGCGGACATACCTGAAAAAACTGCTTAATTCCTTCATCGCATCGCTGGGTGTGAAGCATAAGGAACCTTATACGACCAGCAGACACGAAAGCGGATACAAACCATTCATTAAATTTGTCAACTAGCTGGAAATAATTAACTGAGTACAGGAATTTGATTATGTGCCCGGCAAAGACATCCTCACTTCCACTAAGATTTTGTACTTTGTCGCTTACATTTTCAAGGCTACTATCAAAGCATCTGGGAAGGAACGAACAACAATCGCAGCGGTTTGTTGAGTGAACAAAGAATAGTTGGGAAACACTTTAAATGCCATGAAATGTCAGCTAAAAGGAACGGACAGGTCAAAGGTCCCTACGACATGGAGGATAACGGAAAGCTGCAAAGAGAGATCGAAAAAACGAAAAGCGTTCTAACATCCAGAAATTCTGAAAATGGCGTCGGTTAAGTTGACGTAAAAAGGTTAAGAAAAAGAAAATGAGATGTCGCAATTTAACTTCATAATGGAATGGATAAGAAAGGATTGTAATATAGAGGTAATTACTTTCTATTAGGTTGATGTATAACTACTGCGGATTTTTTCAGCAAATTTTGCTTTGGGGAACGATAGAAATATTTAGGTATTCAAATAATTACCACGGAACACCATTTTCGCCAAGCATTGC